AAAGTAAGGTTTTAAATAAAAATATTCCATTAAAAATATGTAAATTTTCACATACTTGTATCATTTTGACAATGATAAAATATTGGATAAGAGTAATGGATTTATAAATAATTACAGCAAATCTACAACAGTCTTTATTATGTTTCTCCATTTGACCTTTATATAGTGTATCAATGTACATGTTTTATGTATAAATAAAAATACCAATATAATTTGTATTATACAGTTTCATATTTAATTGGATATATAATGTAACAATAGATAAATGTGTATGTATTCAATTTTTTAAGATTTGTACAAGTGACTTGCGACAGCATTCTGTATAACAATAAAGTAACAAGCTGTTATTTAAAGAAGTAAATATAATTTACAAACAGTGCTTTAGCGCATGTGTCCCACATTATAAAGTTATCTTGGAAGTGTATATAATACTTTTTTACGTTTTAATAAATCACTTTCAATGTAACAGTTTATATCCTGTTTCACTAAGCTATATGTATATATATGTATATATCGATCATGTTAAGCAAATAAAAAAAATAGTATATAAAACACTTTCATTTATACTTGGGAGAATTTTTGTTTCCAAATTTCTATCTTTTCACTTCTGATTTCTTCTTTAATACATTAGTACATCAAGAACGCGAGAACGCTTTGATGTAATAAATGAGGAATTGGATGGAAAATATGGAAGTTCTAACAGTTATTCTTAAAATGTAATTGGTTTATCCTTACATTGATCAATACAAAAACTAGTGAAACGTTTAAGGAACTTTGGATACTCCCTTTTATAAACAGCACGTAAGACAGATGCTGGAGCCCAACCACCAGGATTAACTGTTGATCAAACAAAACAATGTTATGAATACATTGAAAGAATACATCAATAAAAAATTATGTCATACGAACCAACAGAACAATAAGTTATTTTGCATGTTATATTTTCTCTTTTTATTTCATCTTCATCTTTTGGAGGATCAATGAAAGTTTGACATACAAGACAAACAGTTAGATAAACCCTCACACATTTTCCAGTATTTGGCTGCAAAAATATTTTATTGTCGGTAGATTGTAAACAAAAGTAAATATTTTCAAGTACATAGAAAACTTACTGGGTAATCAGGATGTTCTGTACTATGATTACAAACTATCCATAAATCCTGTGCATCAGGATCTTGATCATCAGAGACTCGACGCATATGCGACCAAAATAATGCGTCTCTTTGACTCGCTGGCCAAATTCGCTTATGCGTTTGTAGAAATATTAAGGTATCTTTAGAAACGTTTTCAACTACATTCATATCTTCAAGTGTAGCTTCCCACCCTGTTCTATACTCAGGGCTAAAGAATATTTCACAAACTTCATGACCTGTGACTCCTTTTACGACATGACAGGCTTTCAAAGGGTCTACCACTAAACCATCCGCTTCTTCTTCACGTCTGTACATTCGCATATCACCATCTTCAGCAAATAATTGCCATCCACCAGCGCCTACTCCAAGGCGCGCATAATGTAACTGTTCCATCGTTATTTTCTCTATCTAAACGCAAGTTTGATAACAAGGAAATCAGTGTTATAATATTGTAACATAAATGTGGTATATTTTAAAAATGAATAGTTACCTCTGGCCAAAGTCTATGCTTAACTGCTGACATGGTAGGAGTAGTTAGAATTGAAACTGATTTTTGTTTCAAACGATCTCTCAACTGATTTTCTTCGTCAATTTTATCTAATCCAGTCTCTACTGCATCATAGAATTCTTCATCACAGAGAGCACTATGTGGACCTTCCTTAAACATTAAAATTTTGGTTTACATATATTTATAATGTAAATAGTGCACATAAATAAATATTCAAAGTGTACATTATGTGCAGAAACACTTTAACTGAATTGTATAATATTTTTAAAATATTAAATATTTCAAAAAAGTATTTTACTAATTTATACAACCCAACCTCATAATCTGGACCTCCATGAATAAGAACTCTAGGTCTAGGAGAGTCAGTTTGATGTGTTGAAACCTGATCTTTTAAAACTTTGTAAAGTTCTTGCACTTTTCGTTTTTTCTCAACTTCTTTTTCCCATCTACGACGCCATGCATCTTCTCGTTGTACCATTAATTCAACACAATGTTGTAATGTTGCTAATACACCTTCACTAGTTGCTTTAAATGTTATTGCTTCACCCTTAAAGTCTACAGACTGTTCAGCTGGATTAAACATTGTCTCAACTTTATTTTCTGAAACAAATATTGTTTATTTGATAGAAGAAAAAAAAAACAATTAGTTTAAAACATCAAAGAAAATGTGAAACAACTGAATACAGGACAAATGAATACATATGAACAGAAATTATCACTTTACATACCTTTCGAGGAAATATTTTTAGCATTCTCTGCACAATTATCAAAATACTTTTGTAAAGTATCAACTTGTTTGATCAAAATATCTCTAAATGTCTCAAGTTCTGCTAACTTTTCCTTCAATCCTCTAACTCCACGTTTAGTAAAGCTTCCTGCACTTGTAATAGATTGTGTATTTGATATAAGTGAAATGGCACTACCATGTCTCTTTAGACTATTTTCACTTCCATAACCAGATTCTGACTGTTTGAAATGAACATACATATATTTTAATTAGAGTAAAGGAACATTTGTTAAGTTTGCATACATTGAAATAATCTGCTTAATCCACACAACACAACTGCAATACCTTGTAAGATTTTAAAACATCTACCCAACGCTGCTTTTCTTCTGGACTGCTTGCTCTTAAATACCATACCAAGCAATCATTTACAGACACATCAAATCTACATTCATCAAATTCATGAGCCTAACAAGACAAATAAAGTAGAGTAATATCATGAGTTTTCACTGAATGTATCAAGAGAACAAACATAAAACTATCTGTTTCTTACTAGTTCATACCTTAATATTAGCTTTATATAAGCTTATTGAACCTCGACATCCAAATCCACTGTCCTGCTCGGATTTGTAATAAGATAAAGTACCATCTTTGAGAACAATAAATCTAGTTTGCCAGCCATGTATATAATTTGTCCATTTGGATAATGTACCCTGAAGTTCTGGAACGACAACTCCATCCGAACCTTCTTCATCTACATCATCAGCATCTATTTCTGCTTCCATACATTCGATATCCTCATTGGCAAGACGAACTGTTTCTATTTCATCGGCCATTCTTACCAGTAAATCTCAGTTTCAATGTTAATTACTTTTAAAATAAACTCAACATACCCAAAATAATATTTTTAGTTATCTCGACGCGGGATAATTTATCGATAACCAGTTAGTCTACAGTAGTTTAAAAATTGCAAAGTAATCGTTCAGTAATCGTTCGCGACATATGTTTCAAAACATGTTGATTATTAATTATCATACGTAACCTTATGTAAAATGTCTTATCATATAAATGAGACATCAACAGCTTGTATTTTTTCGCAAATAACAAGACTAAGTAGCAAATAGAAAATCAACAGTTTTACTTTAGCGGTGTTTTCATGAATGTTACATGTGCGCTATAATCTTTGTTGATTGGCCATATTCTTGCAAATTGTACATTCCAAATTTTTCATAAATATTAAATATCACTTTTATATATTAAATAAATTACACTTTTCTTAAATTAATAGTGAGTGAAAGAATACAGTAGAAATGCAACGTAATTATGTTTCCTTTTTTACAGTAGAAGTTAAATATATGCAATTCGAGTATCGATTAAATATATCGATAAGTATCGAAAAATGCATCTGGTTTGAAAGCTATTTAGAGACCGCCAAGTTCAGCAGATTATCATGCGTACACGTGAAAACATTATGGTTGGTTCAACAGTATCCCCAAAAACAATGTTATTCGCAACATTTTTTATTCTATTTTGTGTGATATCGGATGCATCGGTGCATAGATTAAACGTTCCAAGAGTTTTATTACCGGTGTTTAATGATTTTGCTGTAAATTTTACACTTGAAGTTACTGACGGTGCTTGCTATCAATGGTAACGACTATTTCTGTTTTAATGCTAATGCATTGTTTTATTATTTATTTGTTGAAATTTCTTATTTATTTAAGCATATTTTTATTATTGTAATTTAAAGTTTTTAAGTTTTTTTTTAAGTCAAACGTAATTGTTTGTATTATAACCCTGTTGTAAAATTATATTTAAAATCACAAATTTATTCAATGATAGGTCAACATCACGTTTAGATATTATACAACTGATTCCTATAAATGAAAATGTAGAAAGGACTTGTTCTTCTGCTATACTGATTCAAACAATAACAAGAGAATCAACTAGAAACACAGCAATAGTATTGGCAGAAGATGTCAATACTGGACAATTTTTAAGATGTGATGTTATTGTTGATGCCATTTTTTCTTTAAATCTTGTAACAACCACAAGGGAATTAATTATAGAAGAAGCACCAGAAGCATTTGAAGTACGCGCATATGATGAACAAGGTAAATGTTGTATTAAAGTTATAGTCACTAAATTTTCAAAAGTTTTTAAAATGTATATAAATTTTGCTTGTAATATGCTTCAATAGGAAATGAATTCACAACTCTTGCGGGAGTAGAATTTTTTTGGAGTATAGATAATACTGATAGGCATATGATAGATATTAAAATACCAAATGATGTTTTAAGATTCATGACATATCAAGAATCACAATATGAAACCCCACAAACAGTTGCTGCATTAGATGCAATTGGTAAAAAAGGACATGTTGTATTATTGGAAGGAACAAAAACTGGCACAGCAAAGGTATCAATGGGTTTATTACACTTTTTAAGTAAAACCATTTTACAAACAAAGCAAAAACATTTATTTCATTGTAGGTTTCTGTGAAATTACCTTATCCAGAATATAAACATGTTCCACCAATAGAAGTTGAATTGATTGTAATAGCTAATTTAATTATCATTCCATCAGATATTACAGTTATGGCATATGATAGCTTTAAATATAAAATAATGCAGGTAAGTGTCTTATTATTTATGATATATTTTAGATATGAATATAATTCAATTATTAAATGGTAATATATTTATAGGCTTGCCAAGGTCGTTTAGAAGAAATAAATTTACCATCTAGCCAGTACTATTTAGAAGCAGAAAATCCGAACATATTAGAAATTGATAATGATCATGATTTTGCATATGCTAAATTTTTAGGACGTACAAAAGTATTCTTACATGACAAGAATGTTCGCGATGAATATCCCGTTATTTTACCATCTGCTACAGTTAACGTGAATGATGTAGCTTACATAACTCTTGCTGTTTTACCTAATAGAAATTGGGGTTTAATACTTGGTCATACTCATGAAATTGTAGTTGAATTGTATGACAGTAAAGATCATAAATTCCACATTGGGGAAGGTGTTGAAGTATCAGTGAAGCTAGATGAATATTACTTTCAACCAAAATCAATAACACAAAATGGTACTTACATTGTTGGTGTACCTGTTACATGTGGAACAATGACTGTTGAGGCTACACTTTATGGTATAATTAATAAACATGGTAAAAAAGTTCCTCTTGCTTCACGTCCTACTACAAGAGCTGAACTTTTAATACATACTCCAGTCATTATTCAACCTAAAGTATTGGCTGTTCCATGGGATTTTAAAGCTAAATCAAGGTTACTTGCAATGTATTAATTTTTTTCCAATGATAATTGGAATTTTATTAAACTTGTTTCCTTTTTTTCTTCTTATTATAGGTATGATATAGTGTTAAAAGCAAATGGAGGAGATGGATCATATGTATGGTCAAGCAAGCATCCATCCATAGCAACAATCTCTCAAAATGGAGGGATAAGAATTTTAGCAGCAGGTGCTACAGAAATAAATGTTGCAATGACAAGAAATCAGTATAATAAAGATACAGCAAGAGTGTATGTATTATCTCCTTCAAAATTAAAAGTAATTGAATACAGTATGGAAGCAGCTGTAGGAGAACCAATTTATCTTCATATTGCACTATATGGAAAGTTAATTAATGGAACAGATTCCAAAGAAATACCTTTCAATGACTGTGGAGATATCAATTTTGAGACGTACATTCCAGATGGTAATTTTGTACAAACTGATAATAAGATCATAGAACCCATAGGAATTGCATGTGCCGTTATAGCAGTCACCAGCGTAGATATCGGAACATCCGAAGTAACAGTAGTATATAATGCTAATGGCCAATACTTAACCGATAATATCACCGTATCGGCGTATGAAACTTTAATAGCAGTACATCCAAGTACTAAAGAGAGTTTATTAACAGTGGGTTCTTCAAGAAAAATAGTTTTTAAAGGTGGACCTCATCCATGGTCTAGCAAGCCTCAAAGTTATTCACAGAAAATTCAGGTTTCTGATAAAAAAATTGCTGAGGTAATAGAACATCAAAATTCGCCAGCTGGAATATATGATTTGTCCGTTTTTGAAGTAATGTGTAAAGCCCTTGGAGAGGTACATGTAACATACACAATTTCAAATATTCCTTTACTGCCAAATTGTAAAAGTACATATGCATCCGAAATGGTGAAAATTATATGCGGTAAACCCAGACATATTTATCTTCAGCCTGAATTTAAAGACAGTAAAAACTGCCCCATCAGTCTTAATACAGAAAGAATAATGGCACATAGCAATAAAAATTTAAAGCTAATTACAATAGTAAAAGACGAAGAAGGTAGAACTTTCGATAATATTACGAGTTTACACATTGAATGGAACTTAAAACCCTCGTCTATAAGTTTTGTAGAAATGCCCACTGGTTCTATAGAGGAAACAGTTACAGATATGAATGTAGTTTTACCAAAGAATTATTATCAAAATGTTATTTTTAAAAAGCATTTTGGTACTCTTACGTTAACAGCTAAAGTTACAGGCTATCAAAAATATATACTAAGCAAATTAAAAATAATACCTGAATGGCCACCTTTTGCTATTGAAACTGAAAGAAAAATTTATGAAACTCCTCATATAGAGGCTTCTATAGAAATAGTTTTAGTCAATGATACCAGTATTAACCCTAGTAAATTAATGGTGTTAAATGATCCTACTGGAAAGTATTACCTGCAAGTGAGTCAAGGTTCTGGTTACTACGAGTTTGTATTGAGTGCAGATGATATTGCAGATGTTCGATATATAGAGTCGACAAAAGCAATTAGTTTTGTTCCAAAAAAGTCTGGAGTACTTCATTTATCTTTGGTAGATCTTTGTTTGCCTTCAAAACCGGCTGAAGTCACAATTGAAATACAGCAACTTGCCGTAATAGAAATAGAAACAGTGAATAAAATTGAAAAGGGGAAATGTATAGTAGCGGCATTAAAACTTTATGATACAAATGGTCATATTATAAAATTGCCATCTTTAAGTGCTTTAGAATTTAAAGCTGAAATCGATAACGAAGGTATAGAAGTTAAACAATTACCTGCTAGTGAACATGGTAATCCTCCTTATAGTCAGTTATTGTATATGATATATGGAATGGCAGAAGGAGAATCGCAATTAACTTTTGTGAGTAAAGGCGGCGAAAAAGAAATACAAAGTGAATCAGCGACTATTCAAGTCTTCGTTCCTTTAAGAGTTTTTCCAAAAAATTTAACAATACTAGTGGGGACTGTTTATCAAGTGCAAACAACAGGAGGTCCATCAAATGCGGAAATTGAATTCTTTACAAAAAATAACGATATCCTTAATGTTGACCACAATGGTATATTTGAGGGAAAATCAGTTGGACAAACGAAAGTTATTGTTAGAGCGATAGGTCTTAATGCTAAAGGCAACAAGGTGATATATTCTGAAGATCATGCGGATATACACGTGTTGTATCTTGAAGGAGTTAAAATTGTTGTGCCAACGAGTAGAGTAAAAGTAGGTGCAACGTTACCACTTTGGGCGTTTGGTATCCCGGAACATTTAACTCCCCTTATTATAGGATCTATGCAGTTACCATTAATTTTTATGTGGTCATCCAGTGATTCCAATTTAATAACTTTGCATAATATGTACGAAGGTACTGGCATTAATATAAGATATCAGAATGAGGTATCTTTGAGAGCTAAGGCAATTGGTCCTGGATTGGCAACTATTTATTTAAATGTTACAATGCCATCTAATATTCTAGCTGGTTTTAAAAATGATGTAACATACACTACATTTTTAAAAGTTGAAATTTTTGAAGAATTACGTTTAACGCATCAGGGAGTACCTTTCAATGTGCCAGTAATACTAATGTCTCCAAACTCTGTTTTAAAATTACGAACGAGTCGTGACAAACATGGTTCAACTACATACAAATTATTGTCAACTATGCATGGAAGTGATGCTGAGGATTTACATGCCTTAACACCAGCATCCAAAACTGTTACTATTGATAAAAATGGTATTATAAAGGCTGGTGAAAATTTGGGAAAAATACTTATTTCTATTACAAATACAGAAGCATATAATTTGAAACAATCAATAACTGTTATTGTTGAAGTAAGATTATTGTATTTTTTAAAGTATAAATTTGATTGGAAATTTGCAAGAAATTTATGTTACAATCATTTTATCTACAGGTCAAACCCATCCATTATATGATGCTATCTTTAAAATCAATTTTACGAATACGAAATGGGGAAGAATTAAACATGTTACCCAAAGGAATGGAATTGGATTATATTCTAGAATATTACGACAATGTTGGATCAAAGTTTCATGCTGCAGAAGTCGATGCTAAAACTATATTAAATCGGGCTGATTTGGCTTCATTTGTTAAAAGTTCTGAAAGTGTAGTTACTGCAAAATTTATTGAGAATGGAGATCTTGTTGTTAAAGCATACAATGAAAGGTATCCTAATGCAATGTTTGATTATGTACACATGATGATCGGCGATATAGTTTTTCCAACAAAGGTACTTTATACATTTTTGTGATTTTATTTGTTATAAATAATATTATTTTATACATCATATATTAATTAAGTTTATGTTGCATTATAGACAACGCTAACGGTGGGCGATATAGTATGCTTTTCAATGCCACTTCTCTCTCCTGATGGTGATCCAGGTTACTGGCAATCCTCAGCTCCTGAAGTTTTAACTGTAGATCCTATTACAGGAATAGGACGAGCGAGGAATGTTGGATATGCAGTAGTAAAACACAGTCTTGCAACTCATATGCAAGGTGAAATAGAAGTTAATATTCAACCTATTGCAAAGGTATTGTATTTAGTGAATTATGTAAAAATACACATTAATATTTTATCAAGCTACATATATCATTTTGAAAATGCAGATATCAATTGTCCCATTAAGGGGTCGAAATATTACTGGAACTGAAACATTTAGTGTTCCTCTCGTACTTAAGAGTAAGGATGAACAAGTTAAAGAAAATAATGTTTTATCTAGAGGATTAGGAGGCTGTAGAACGTTTAGTTCTTTTACTTTAAATTCGTATCCTTACACATGTAACATACAATTGGTTTCATCGACTTCTACTATCGGAGTAAAAGATTTGTTTCTTGTTAAACCACGATTTGATATTACAACTGGTTAGTAATTAATTTAAACCTATGGTATAACAAAGTTCGTCATTACTTAATTACTTCCTAATTATTTGTTATAGGTTTTTATTATTGTGATGTAATGCCAATGGGTTCTCCAAATATAATTTCCAGTACATTAGAAAGCCGTATTCAAATAAATGCACAAAGTAAGGATATTGAAGCTGTACCTTTAGAAGTTACATATCTTCCACCTGTTTATGTTGATGCCAAGGAAATCGTTTTCATTAACGCTCATTCTCAAACCATACCAACTGCAACACTTGAAGTATATGGCCTTCAATCTGTATTGGATCATCTTACTGTAAGTTTAACTTTTTTCTTTAAGCAATTAAAATAGATTCGACGACATGTTTGTTCATATTAATTTATTTTAGATTGATACACCGGATGGATTAACTGTAAGTGCTCGGCAATACATTTCAAAATCTACAATGCAATATAAACTTCGTTTGATGCATAGTCAAGAGGAAATTCAAGGTCAAAAAGTTATCATTGCAAATGATATTACAAAACAAAATATATCTGTAAGTGAATAACAAAATAAGCACTGAACTTCGTTATTTATTGTAATTTATAATTATACCTTTTCTTTAGCTTTTCGTACGTGTAACGAAATACGAACATTTCATGCCGTTATCTGGAATTCATTGGGTAGATTATATGTATTTCCATCGCTATACATTTGGAACTTTTGCTGTTATTGTAATTACTTTCTTCTATAGTAAGTCTTCCTTAGTTTCAAAATATCTTATATTGTTTTCAATTTTCCGTCTGAATAATTGTTTAATTATTTTCTCATTTGTTTTGCAGTATGGAAAAATAAAATTACGAATATTGATTTAAATATCAAAAATAGAACAGTGTTTGGTATGTATGCTATTTTAATGTCGTAGTCGTTTCTCATTTTACTAAGTGAGTAATTGATATTTATTTTTTATAGCTGACAAATGTCCACCGCAATTGAAAAAGACTAGTACTGCGTGTTCAACTCCGTTAAATTGTACAAATATGTCTATGTCGCGGACTCCAGTTACACCAAACATGTTTGCATTTGATTTTCCTGTTTATGGCGATCCTCGTGGTCCTTATTCAACAAGTAAACGAAACAGATCAATGAATACATCTTAAAAAAATAGCTTCAATGTAAAGATACATTGTACTTATAATGGAGCTATAACGTATTAATTACATTTTTTTTGTAAACGTATATTCGAATTTCAAACAGGTGCCTTATTGTCACAAATTCATTTTTATTAGAAGGTGATTAATTATTTGAAAACAAAGGATTTTTATGTTGATTTTATGATGATGCTATCGCTATATTAATATTAGATAGTAGATATAAGACAATGTACATTCTGTAATATAAAATCTAAGTTATACAATTTTATACACAACAGAACTTGTGCAGTAGTTTGATGCAAGTATACTTTAACCATATGTTGGTTATGTTTGTTTTACAGATTTAAGGTATATGGTTCCTAGTCATATAACATAATTTGTATATGATATACATTTAGTTACTTGGTATATATGATCTCAAGTGACAATGCAAAGATAATAATAATTTCTTATTGTTTACTCACTTCTATCAAAGTTGAAATATTATATCAGTATCATACTACTTTATAATTTTTCTTATTTACATATAATATGTCTCATTTAATAAGTAATTTTTCATACCTTTTGCTACAAATAGTAATGTCATATAAACATTGTATAATTTTCATTTGTACAACAAGACTAAGTAATACCTATTAAGTATAAGACTATGTAAACATGTACTATATGCTATACAAATATAAAATGATTTTTAGCACTTGTTTACATTTGATCCACTTATGTCATAGATTAAAAATAAAAATGAAACAAAGTGTTTAAATTATTTATAAATATTAGGATGAATGCATATAATTAATGCTTTTTTGCAGTTTTAAGTAATTTTTCGTATTTACTTTTACTAGAATACCATAGTGCAAAAGGAATAGCTAATGAAGGTAATGTCATCACAGCAAATGCAGCCCAATCAATCTGAAATTTGAATAATTTGTTTCATTATATTCATTCGAGTGCTTACAATCATGTACCATTTAATTAACAGTTACTTACCACATGAGAAGAAAATTGCTTATCATAATCTCTAAATGATACAATTACTGCTTCACCAGGTTCACTACTTGCAGCAAACTGTAAACTACCAGCATCTTCCTTACGTCTATATAAAACTTCTGCTGATGTGAAATTGAAATATCCAAATTTTCGTGGCCTTACAACAACTGTATGACTAACATTTGTGTAAGGTGGGACACGATCTATCCTTGCATTTAATTCTCCACTCACATGGGTGAAATGATCAGGATGGAAAGAATTATCTGTGATTTCAACTTCCAATGCAGCTGCATTGCCAACATTGTAAACTGTATACTGTAAGTAAAAGGTTCTATGTTATGATACAGATGCTATGCATAAATTATTAATTAACATTATGAATAACTCATTTTTATATATACCTTGATTACAATGTCCATATTTTCTACAAGATATTTGTTAAGAAGTTGTTTTGATACTAATAACTTTGCAGCTTCATCCTCTTCTTCTGCATATGCAGTAATAATTAAAGCAGCCAATGCTGCTAATATTATATGCCACTTCATGCTAGAATATTCAAATATTAAACGAGATTATTGGTAAAAATCATATTATTCATAAAAATGTTGATTATATGTCATTCCTAACTTATGTTGTGACAAGATAGATGTAACTCTAATATAGTGTTATAAAAATATGTAAAATTAATAATACATTCACTGATTTCTATGAAAATCATCTGTATAATTTATAATATCTTAAAAATTGTACACACTTTATTCATAAAAAGCCGCTAATCTATGTTATTCAAACAGGTAAAATATTATGTTTACCGGAGTATTTCAAATAAGAACTAATCTTTTCAATTAATATTTTATATTACGTTCGAAAAAATTTCACCATTACAATACAGGGTTTAATTACTTTTATGCTAAATAATTATATGGTTTTTACCTTTCGGCACGGTATAACTCGTGTCACTCACGACAACGAAACACTTACTCCGTACGAAGAGCTGGAAGATACATTTGAGAGAAGTGCCAACAGCACACACTTTGATGCCACGTTTCGTTGAAGGAAAACACAGTCGCGCGAGCAATTAACTTCCGGTAACGGGTGTTTAATAAAATGGCGGTGAAAACAAATCGATGTTTTGTTGAGTGTACTCATAAATTTCATTGACAGAGAAGAACATATTTGTTTATGTGTAACACTATGTACCATAGATATTAATGAGAATACATAAATTGGGTTAAGTATTTCGAGTATGTTGTAAAGTAGTAAAACACTCTTGTCACAAACTCTTCTGGTGATTGACAAGTATATTAAATTCGAAATTTCGTATATTACCCATGAAACTTCTAAGTTTTTAGATAATTAAACTGAGTATCAATATAGTATTTTATATAATGGCTGCAAAAGTGTATCAACCGGACCAAGAATTAGAGACGAAAGTTAAAAAAGGTTAGGATTGTATATTTGTGGAATAAATACATTTTATTAAATTATACTTAAAATTGACGTTTTATTTTTTATATTTTTAGCAACGGAGCGTATATCTGAAAATATGCACATAGTGGCAAATGAACCATCTCTCGCATTTTATAGACTTCAAGAACATGTAAGAAAGGCATTACCTCCAATGGTAGAAAAGCGTGTAGAAGTGCTTGCTCTTCAACAGCAACTTTTAGGCAGATGTTATGATGTAGAGTATGCTGTAAGTGCTATTAAAACAATGCATGGTGCTGGGAAAAGTTTTGAGAACACTTTAGAATTCATCAAGAATGCAATATTCTTTAAACAACAATTGAAGTATGAAGAACAACGTAGACACAAAAAGGATGGAAATAGGGATTCTGTATACAAAAGATTATCTGCACACATTGCTACTTTAGATCACTTGCCAGATGAAATATCTGATGTTGTAAGAGAAACTGCTAATAGAGTAGAATCAATGATGAATCATGCTAGATATTCTACAGAGGTACAAAAACCAAATTGAACTTGACAAGTGACAAGTTGATATATTAAAATGTAATATTGTTATGAAGTACAGATATGGACGTTGTAAATAATATTAAATTCTGAATAATTTGACAGTATTTAAAGAATTACGCAAAAAAAAACGTATTATATGACATATTAAATAAAATTATTATTTCTGTATTCCGAGTAGTTGAATATTACAACATTTCTTGTATATTTAAAATATTTTCTTTTATTTTTCCTTATAATCTGATGAATATTAGTCAGGAATGGAAAAATGTATAAAAAACTAGTTCGTTGCAAAGATCGTTTTGAACTCTAAATGAGGTTGCATAGATGTCGTTAACATTCGTATAAGAGAGTGTTGTGTATTATCGGGAAGGTCGGTGTACAAAATGTTAATTAATATATGAAATTGTGATAAAAAAGTTTAAACATGATTGGTGTATATATTAATTTATAAGAATGACTCATCTGAAACATGTTTTATTTTTGGACAAGTTTTACGGTACGTTGATCATTCGATATTTCTGTTTCTTCTAGGTTATAATTGTTCGGTGTTCGCATGATATTTAATTTTTTAAAATAATCTTATTCTTTATTGATTGTTTCATTGTACAGCTGTAATTTTTTTCTCATAAACTTACTTTTGCCTTGGTACCTTCACGACAATGTATATAATCTCTAACTTGATTATATCAAATATTTTACTAACTTGACATTATGTAGGACACTACATGTTACCTACTTTTCAATTATTAGATTACTTATGTAATCTTTTGATTAATGTAACAGACACAATTCTATAATTTAGCGTTTTGTAACTTGAAAAATTAAGAATAGAGCATCATTTATAAATAAAGAATACTATATTGCTTTATAAAATTATAAACTTTTTGATACATCGCCAGAATTTGTTAAATTATTATTAAAAGTCTAGAAATAATATATTTTAACAGCTGTGTAATACAATGCTTAGAAATGTACAGTTAGTTGGTGAATTAAATTTTTGCGAATTGGTCGTAGTAAACGCGATCGTAAATATTAATGTTGAACCGTTTAATTCTGTACAGAATTGTTAGTCTATCGACGCGGAATTTCCAGGTAGATTGTATGGACAACACAAATGAATATGCTGTACGCGTTTCTTAAGAGAAACCGCGCCAATGCTTCGCGATTATAAAGTCATGGGTGCCGCGTTCTGTACGGACTTCAAATTGCACTTACTAAAAAGATCATGATTTAAGGATGAGCTTCGGATTCTATCGTGATATATTCGGAACTAGTTCGATAAACGACGAAGATTTGCAAAACGAGACTAAGTCGATTCTCGGAAGATTTTACTTGTACCGAATTTGCTCTTTTCAGCTAAAAGTAAGTGCTCGTTCTCTCGTCGTCTGTAAACAAACCATGTTTCGTGGAAACGCTCACCGATGTATTTAGAAAAATATACAGTAACCGTGTTTATGGTGAATCGTATTGATCGATCATGATTATGATGAAGTAATACGGTCCGTTAAATTCGAGTGAAATGACGAGGACGACAACTTTCCCGAAACGGTGTTGACCGTTTCTCTTGTATTTAAAGTAGTTCCGGGATGGATGAATCGTGCTTTTTAACCATCTATAAAATGATTCTAACTAAAGTGTTATTTGTCTTTCGTACAAATAGTCGAAGGATTTGGACCATTTTTTTGGTTAAAAGTTAACCTCTCGAATTGTTCCGCAAGTTTGCTTTCGATACTCTTAAATGAAATTTTCCACGAAACCCAAGCGTTCTCGTTGTTCTTAATTTAGGATTGACATTGAAATCTTAATATAGATCCATTATAAGTTTTATTTACATTTTTCGTGTAACCGGTGTGAACGTAGATGATTCTCAGGCACTACATGTTCCTTTCTACAAATTTCACGAAGAGTATATTATTTTTATTTCACTTGAGAATAGACAAGGACTCGGTCGTCAATTAAAACGTGTGGTGTACGGTACAACAGCATTCCCGTTTCCCTAATATCTGTGAAAATTGCGAAAGTTACATTGTCAAAGGCTGGTAGCGCGATCGTACTACTTACGAACCGCGCACATTACGTTTTACCGTTTGCCACTGGCCGGCGTATAATTGAACTTTTGTGAAACACGAAAAACGTGCTTTCACTTTGGCCGTGATGCTCGAATGGCTTTTCTATGAAATTTGTGAACCCCTTCGCAAGCGTCCGTAAGTCAACCGATAGTATGTAAGTTTGTATTGGTTCTCGCAAAAAAGAAAAAAAAAAATGTTCACACAAAGTTTTTGCGTAATTCTTTGCACAACCTTGTTACGATAATGAATCATTGTTGAATCGAGGCAGAGTTGTCTCAAACATCGGTGTATGTTTTACGTAGTTAAGATAAACATCTATCCATCAGCATTATAGTGCATCGTACCGAATCGTACTGTGCTGGATAAAAAGTAGCTCGTCCGCTGGTCCCATTCACGAGTTTGGCAATAATTGAGAGGCACGTGTTTCCACGCTCGTACTCACCAATGCGAAAGAGACAGCGTGAGGCTGGAAGCGCGGCGGGAAAAGCAAACAAACACAGAATTTCAAATCTTTACCCTCCGTCTGTTTCGGTAATTGCTTAAAGTTTGAATCATTTGTTGGTTACGTGAACGTGATGGTGCTTTCTTACGTTATCGAAATTCGTAATTCCTTACGACGGAGAGGTGTACCGCGGAGATAACAGGCACGTGCACGTGAAAGGTGAAAAGAGAGGGAGTCGAAAATTGCCGAGTGCAGTCGAAACAGGACGATCGTGTTTTCTGAAAGATCGATCGGGTTGCTCGAGCATAAGCGCAGC